ACGTGCTAAACTCTATGCCTTCCTTATGGTCCTTACCCATACGACTGATGATATATTGTGTGATTCTGAGTGTCAGCCCTTGGTTCGGGGCCTGAGACAGCCACGAGCTCAGCTAGTTGCTAGTAGTTCGATGCTCGATCTGTGGGTTCGGATCTGGTCGGCGCTCGATCACCGCGGCCCTGGTAGGGTCGAGGTTCTGTGGACAAGGAGTCACTCCACGGCCCACCAGAGGGCCCAATTCGCCACTGGGGAGGAGGAGTGTTTCCTGAATTGGAGTGCTGTTGTTTTGCCGCAGGATGGGCAGCTGAACGAGCTGGCCCATCCCAAGAACAGGTTGACCTCACCATGTATGTAGACAGAGTGACTTCTCACACGCTCGACCGCCTGATGGCGGTGCGTCAAGAAGTTGTTGAAGCCAACCCGAGGAGGACCTCGGATAAGCTCGGCCGCCCGCCACCGCTCCCTCCCCCTATCCCCTCTTTCTTTGTCGGGAAACAGAGGTTGCGGAGTGCTGGCCATGATGAACCGCGCGAGGTCGGCTCATTTTTGAAGTGTCAGATGTGTGCACGTCGTTTCAGCCTCAGAGGTCGTGTCCAGGACTTTCGCCCAGGTCCTTGTCCTGGCCCCGCCCACCTCTCGGCTGACCCGTCTGCCCACCCTCTGTACCCCAGTTGTGCCAGGAATCATAGTGTCCGAGTGTTGCGGGGAGTGTTGTATTGTGCTCACTGGGGCGCTCACGCCACTTTGAATGTTCAGGGTCTTGCCAAGCCTTGCAAGACCGACCGTCCTCTTATTAAAGCTGGGAAGGAGGTACTGTCCCGAATGGAGAGGGGGCTGCCCCCACAGAGCGGAGGTAAGTTTCCGCATGTTGCCTGAATGTAAGGACGTGCCCAGGCTTGACCTGGTCTCCACGGGTTTTCTTATCCTCCTCAGCCTCCTCCTCCTCCTCCTCCGCCTCCTCCTCCTCCGCCTCCTCCTCCTCCTCCTCCTCCTCCTCCTCCTCCCCCTCAGCGAGTTACCCGCGTGAGCCCTGCGGAGCCTGGATGGCGGCCGCGCCGCGGGTCGGAGCCCCGTTGTGCGCTGCTGTTTCCCTGCCTCGGTCTTCATCTTCGCGGCCGTGCTGGAGGAGTCCCGAGGGTGTCGTGTGTGTGTGTGTGTCGGCGTGGTTGAATGCAGAATCCCCCGCTTCTTCCTCCCCTCACTCTGGGCTAAGGGACCCCTCGGATGTCCTATGTGCTCGATGTATGTTGTCATGGACATGGAATCAAGATCGGCTCCAACAACAAACGTCACTGCCATTGCAATCGTGAGCGACAACACTGTCGCTGCCACGGAATTCACGCGCAGTCCGGCTACAAACACACTAATTCTGGCCATCGCTCGGACGTCCATTCCCTGTTTTTTTGTTGTCGTGCGTGGTTTCTTCGCCAAACGATCAAGGATGCTCCTCGATGGTCCTCGCCGAAGGAAAAATGCACACGTCCGAGCGATGCCAAGACGAGGAGGAGGACTGGACTGGATCGTACGGCACAAATGCAAAAGCCTCGTTGGTCAGGCGCCGAAGCCGCAAAAGAGCCTTTGCTCACATTTCGGTACTCTGGTGGTGAACCAGGGTCGCTGAGCGGGCCACCCTGCAGTAGGCGAGCCCGTGGAGCTGCGTGTGAGCGAGTCTTGGTGTGAGCGAGTCTGAGTGTGAGCTTGAATGTGAGTCAGTATGCGGCGGAGGGGAGCCGGGAGGACGAGTTGAAGCGGAGGAATCTCATCAATAACAAGAATCCCGCACCTGGGGCATGGGAAAATAAAACTTGCGCACCCTCGACATGCAAATTCAAAATGAAATGATGCGAATCACTGGTCCAGATGGCCTGGTTCCGCCTTCGGAGGCGTCTGGGAACCTCTAGAGACCTCTGAATGGCTCCGTAGAAACACAAACCTACTGCAGGACATAACATGTGGGAAATCCCCGCTGATTTCCAGGGGTCGGCGCTGGCCGCGTTGCCAGGGGGTCTAGCGCGACCACAAGTCTGCACGGGAATCCGAACGTGTGGACTCATGCAATCCCCGCATTTTTGCGAGGTCGAAATCAAATCGATGATCAAAAAAGCCGCGCAAAGGTCGTGCCGCGTCGGGTCGACATGGTAACGCAATCGAATTGACTTGGATCAGACCAACCAGAATCGACATCGGACCGGGTCGATCGAAACATTTTTGTGGGTGGTAGAAATGAGTGAAAGAATGCGCCACTGCAATCCTGCATCGATCACCTCAAGGCTACCAAGCTTTCGAAACAGAGCAACACCCACTGAGCCAAGACTCCGAATCGGATAGCGTGACATCCATCCGTGACACCAGCGTGAAGTCAACCAGCGGAGGCTGACTGGCTGGCCACTCTGCACACGGCCAAATCTCAAGTGTCAAGAAGCGGAGGGCGGCCGCATGGCGCGTGGCAACACTGGGCTCCAACCGGTGTCAAACATCCAAATGATACTGGGACACTCCTTCCCGACGATCGAAGCAAGAACACCTCGATCACTGCACACGCCTGAGAAACCAACACTCACAAATAATAGACTGTATTCAATCACGCCATGTGAGAGAAACCTCCCACTGCATCATGGGGTGCCCGAAGAACCAACAACGAACAACGCGGACCAACAACGAACAACGCGGACAAACAGGGTTGGAGGCCCAGAAAACGACAGAGCCAGAACGGTTCGGAGCTCCGAGCAGACGTCTTGGATCGGCGCTGGACCCACCTCGCGGAGCGCGCCTCGAGGAGCCCCACGCCGCTCCACGAGGAGTCCGCGCGGAGCTCCGCGCAACCACGGGCGTGCCGTGATCGCCTGCCCCTCGCGGGGCGAGAGATCGGCGGGCGCCAGCCAGAGGGTGAGGACAAGGACAGGGCGCCTGGAGGTCAAGTCTGCCGTCACTGCTGCTGACTGCTGAGACCTCTGCGCAGCAGTGCGGATGCGGCGGCCGCACACTCGCGTGCACACGTGGGCTGCCTGCGGGTGAATCCTGGGCTGTGCCGAATCGGGGGTTGCTCAAGGTACCCCTGGCCCGAGTTGCCTCCAGCTTTTCGCTCCATTCTGGAGCCCCTGGAGCCATTGGGCCTCGTGAGGGGTGCTCTGGAGGCCGTGGGAGCCTCACTGGAAATCCTGGAGGCACCTTGGGCTACAGGCGCTTCTAGCAACACCCGACCGAAGGCCGCAGGAGGAGGAGGAGTCGAGTAGAGGATGGACTACATAATCGATTCATGCCAAAATTGACACTCGACTCTACGAACACCTACGTAGAAAATGTGCAAATCCACGGAACATTAAATACGTATACTTCGTAGGTTCGGAGGACACATGTTGCGGTACAGTCGGGCCTAGGACGGAAGACCATCCCTCAAGAACGTGAGACCCTCCGCTGGCCCAAACTGAGCAAAAATTCGAGGGTGCCCTCCCCCAGGATGCACACATCCAACAGAAACGAAGAGCAGTATGGCACCTTCCCCGAGCCGACCTCGATCTCACACCTCGGGCCGACCGTAGGCGCTCTTATTCGGGAGCGGCCAAGAGGGGGGTGTCCAAGAGGGGGGGGTGCAAATCATGACCGGCGGCATGTGCGCGGCCCAGCGGGGGGGCCAGGGGCGTAACGAGATCAGGAGAGGCGCCGTGAAATCTGGGGAGATATCATGGCCCACCCCATGGTATCCCCCCCCCCTAGTCATCACCCTCCTCTTTGCCGCCCCCGGATACCTCGGGCCGACCGTAGGCACTCTTATTATGAGTTTCGACCTATGAGCGACGAATCAAAAGTGATGGGCCTGTTTTCCACCACCACCATAAGTTGGAGGGGGGAAGGGGGGGGAGGAGAAGGAGGAGGAGGAGGAGGACGAGGAGGAGGAGGGGGAGGAGGAGGAGGAGGAGGAGGAGGAGGAGGAGGAGGAGGAGGACCCCCTCCCCCTCCAACTTATGGTGGTGGTGGTGGTGGAATACACGCCCATCAAAGAGTGGTCTTGCGCGAGATGACGCAGCGACCCTGCGCGCTGGCTCGCGCGGGCCGCCAGGGCGGCACGCCGCGCTGGCGACGAGGGCGCGGGCGCTCGCGCGCGACCGACGGCACATCAGGTCTTCGTCGGCCCGACTGCACATCCATCCAGAAGTTAAGCTCGGCGTGTCCCCCTACAGGGGGATCTTCGACGAATGACAAAAAATACTCCAAACATACCCCCAAATGGTAAAAACATACTCAAGAAAAAGCCCCCGGACTATTTTCGGATTTTTTTGTTGTGCATCTCCCCCCTGTAGAGGATCCCCTGCTCGGAGGAGGGTCGGGCGTTGGCAGAACTGGGTTTAGTGGGACCTGGTTTAATGATATGTGCTGGGGGACACCCCTCCGCCCCCTTCCACTAAGCGGAACTGCCGACACCCGAAAAAAACACGAGTTGCGGCAGACCGGGTTTGATGATTCTGACCAATTCAGGGGCTCCGAGGCTATACCACTAACCGGGTCCCCTTACCTTTCTGTTGCTCCCATCCGACTTAAAAACTATATCCGAGAAAAAATTTCGAGCACCCGGAAAAGTGTCGAATGAGTGTCGAAACAGTGTCGGGCGAGTGTCTCCCAGGGCCCGGCACGTGAAAACCCTCGAGTTTCGGTACTTGTTTTCATTGTGCTCGAGATTATTCCTGGGAGTCCAGGTTAAAAGTGGCTGGAACATCATAACCTTACCTAGGGTCCTGGCTATACCCGAGAGTTTAGCAGGGACCGACCGTCCCGGTTCTACCACGAAATGTTCTTCGAACCCAACAGTGTTCTGAGAACAAAAACAATGCTCTTAGAACATGAACCCGATGTGTTAAAACAAGGCAATCGCCGCCAGAACTATTCTGAGGACATCTCGCGCAGACCACAAAACGGTTCTTAGGACAAGGGTTGGGTAGGGCCATATAAGCGAGCCCGGGCGCCTCGCCACTGCTTGAGAGAGGGGGGGAGGCCGGGCCCCGGGCCTCCCGCCCGCAGCGCTCTCTTCCCTCCGGCGGCCGCGGCGCCTCCCGGCTGCCCTCGGCCTCGCCGCGCGGGGGTGGGGGCGCCGCACGCGCTGCCGGACCCTCCCCCTCGGGCCGCCCCGCCTCGCCCGCGCTTGCCCCCCTCGCCCGTGCCTCCGAGCCCTCCATCCTCAAGTCGGGCCTGTCCTTTACAGGGGGAAGATGCAAGACAAAAGTCAAACAAACATAGTCAAGGGCCTATTTTTGGATCATCTTTTTACCATCTGGGGGTATGTTTTGAGTATTTCTTACTTATCCGCGTAGCAACCCGCAATTGCGGATAAGAGTGAGGGGGCGGGCGCGGGCGACGCGGGCGTCGTCGAGCCGGCGGACCTCGTGGCCCCCATCTTCCCTGTCGATGGCGCTCTCCTCCTCCTCCTCCTCCTCCTCCTCCTCCTCCTCCTCGTCCTCGTCCTCATCGTCATCGTCATCGTCATCCTCCTCCTCCACCTCGTCCTCCTCCTCTTCTTCCTCGTCCTCCATCTCCCCCCCTCGTCCTTCCATCATCGTCCTCCCATTGTCGTCCTCCCCCACATCGGCCTCCACCTCGTCCCCCCATTGTCGTCCATCATCATCCTCCCCCTCCTCCCCCTCCTCCCCCTCCTCGTCCTCCTCCTCCCCCTCCTCCCCCTCCTGATCCTGCTCTTTCTCCACATTCTCCTTACATCCTCTCTTCTTCCGCGTCCTCCTCGTCCCCTGTTTACTCCTCCTGCCTCCCCCTCCTTTCCCAAGATAACGGCAACGCAATCTTTTTTTCCACTTTATGCTCCCCGACTTCTCTGATCAAGGCAACCCGCCAGGGCAAAGTTGCTGGACGGGCTGGTGTGGATGCGCGGGGCTTGAAGAGGTCGTTGCGGGCTCAGACGGCATGCAAAAATCCGCCGCCGCGCTTGTGCTACATTGGTTTGTTCAGTGAACGTGATTTGGGTCGCGAGTGGGTCGCGGGCTCTCCACCTCCACCTGGAAGGAATGCGCAAGCAGCCCGCCGCAGGCGCCGAAAAAATTGGTCTGTACACTGAACGTGGTTTGGGTCGCGGGTGGGCCGCGGGTTCTCCACCGGGAACGAATGCAAAAGATGCCCGCCGCAGGCGCCGAAAAATTTGGTTTGTACCCTGAACGTGGTCGCGGGTGGGCCGCGGGCTCTCCACCTGAAACGAATGCATCAGATGCCCGCCGCAGGCGCCGAAAAATATGTTTTGTACCCTGAACGTGGTTTGGGTCGCGGGTTGGTCGCGAGTTGGTCCCGGGGTTTGGTCGCGGGCTCTCCACGTGGAATGAATGCAAAAAAAGCCCGCCGCAGGCGCCGAAAAATCTGGTTTCTACCCTGAACGTGGTTTGCGTCGAAGGTGTGTCGCGGTGGATCGCGGGGTGGGTCGCGGGTGGGTCGCGGGTGGGTCGCGGGTGGGTGTCGCTGGTGGGTCGTGGGTGGGTCGCGGGGTGGGCCGCGGGCGGGTTGCGGGGTGGGTCGCGGGTGGGTCGCGGGTGGGTAGCGGGTGGGTCGCGGGGTGGGTCGTGGAGTGGGTCGCGGGGTGGGTCGCGGGTGGGTCGCGGGTGGGTCGCGGGTGGGTCGCGGGGTGGGTCGCGGGGTGGGTCGTGGAGTGGGTCGCGGGGTGGGTCGCGGGTGGTTCGCGGGTGGTTCGCGGGTGGGTCGCGGGGTGGGTCGCGGGGTGGGTCGCGGGTGGGTCGCGGGGCCGGTTGCGGATGGGACGACGACAACAAACAACAACAAGAACGAGGCGCAGTTGACCGGCCCGTCCAGTGGGGAGCTCCACAGCGCCTCCTCCCCTAGGGACAAGGCCGACTTGACCGGCCCGGGGGCAACCGCGGGACCCCAGCAACCCCAGCAACCCCAGCAACCCCAGCAACCCCCAGCAACCCCGAAAGCTTACCTCCACAGACCAAGCTCTCAACGCTACGTCCTCCATGCGGATTCTGACAGCACGACGCGTGTGCGCACCGGTGCAGCGAGCTCTTGAGGAATCCTATAGGATCCTCGAGAAATCCTATAGGATCCTATAGGAAATCCTATAGGATCCCTTAGGAATACTATAGGATTCCTTAGGAATCCTATAGGAATCCTATAGGATCCCTTTGGAATCCTATGGGATTCCTTAGGAATCCTATAGGAATCCTATAGGATCCCTTAGGAATCCTATGGGATTCCTTAGGAATCCTATGGGATTCCTTAGGAATCCTATAGGAATCCTATAGGATCCCTTAGGAATCCTATGGGATCCCTTAGGAATCCTATGGGATCCCTTAGGAATCCTAGAGGATCCCTTAGGAATCCTAGAGGATCCCTTAGGAATCCTATAGGATTCCTTAGGAACCCTGTGGGATCCCTTAGGAATCCTATGGAATCCCTTAGGAATCCTATAGGATCCCTTAGGAATCCTATAGGATTCCTTAGGAACCCTGTGGGATCCCTTCGGAATCCTATAGGATCCCTTAGGAATCCCATAGAGGAGCTCTATGAGCTCTATGAGGAGCTCTGCTAGGATCCTATAAGATCCTATAGGATCTATAGGATCCTGTAGAAATCCTATGAAATCCCATAGGAAATCCTATAGGATCCTATAGAAATCCTATAGGATCCTATAGGAAATCTATGAAATCCTATAAGATCCTCTAGAAATCCTATAGGACCCTATAGGATCCTATAGGACCCTATAGGATCCTATAAGATCCCTTAGGAATACTGTAGGATTCCTTAGGAATCCTATAGGAATCCTATAGGATCCCTTAGGAATCCTATGGGATCCCTTAGGAATTCTATAGGATCCCTTAGGAATCCTATGGGATCCCTTAGGAATCCTATGGGATCCCTTAGGAATCCTATAGGATCCCTTAGGAATCCTATGGCATCCCTTAGGAATCCTATAGGATCCCTTAGGAATCCTATGGGATCCCTTAGGAATCCTATAGGATCCCTTAGGAATCCTATGGGATCCCTTAGGAATCCTATGGGATCCCTTAGGAATCCTATAGGATCCCTTAGGAATCCTATGGGATCCCTTAGGAATCCTGTGGGATCCCTTAAGAATCCGATGGGATCCCTTAGGAATCCTATGGGATCCCTTAGGAATACTATAGGATTCATTAAGAACCCTAGAGGATCCTATGGGATCCCTGAGGAATCCCTTAGGAATCCTATTGGATCCCTTAGGAATCCTATAGGAATCCTATGGGATCCCTTAGGAATCCTATAGGAATCTTATAGGATCCCTTAGGAATCCTATGGGATCCCTTAGGAATCCTATGGGATCCCTTAGGAATCCGATGGGATCCCTTAGGAATCCTATAGGATCCCTTAGGAATCCTATAGGATTCCTTAGGAACCCTGTGGGATCCCTTCGGAATCCTATAGGATCCCTTAGGAATCCCATAGAGGAGCTCTATGAGCTCTATGAGGAGCTCTGCTAGGAGCTCTATTAGGAGCTCTGTTAGGAGCTCTACTACGAGCTCTACTACGAGCTCTATTAGGAGCTCTACTACGAGCTCTAATACGAGCTCTACCACGAGCTCTAATACGAGCTCTATTAAGAGCTCTACTACGAGCCCTACTACGAGCTCTACTACGAGATCTACTACGAGCCCTACGAGGAGCTCTACTTCGAGTTCTACCACGAGCTCTACCACGAGCTCTACTACGAGCTCTACCACGAGCTCTACTACGAGCTCTATTAGGAGCTCCGTTTGGAGCTCTGTTAAGAGCCCTGTTAGGAGCTCTACCAGGAGCTCGCTTAGGAGCTCTACTACGAGCTCTACTACGAGCTCCATGAGGAGTTAATCTGCGAGCTCTACCAGGAGCTCTACTGGTAGCTCGATTAGGAGGTCTACTATGAGCTCTACTACGTGCTCTATTAGGAGCTATAGTGTGAGCGAGGTCTGCCAAAATCTCTACTGCGAGCTCTACTAGGGGCTCTACCACGAGCTCTACTAGGAGCTCTACTACGAGCTCTGTTAGGAGCTCGATTAGGAGCTCCATTAGGGCTACTACTACTACGGTTACTACTACTACTACTACTACTACTACTACTACTACTACTACTACTACTACTACTACTACTACTACTACTACTACTACTACTACTACTACTACTACTACTACTATACTACGACTACGACTACACTACCACTACCACTACTACTACTACTACTACTACTACTACTACTACTACTACTACTACTACTACTACTACTACTACTACTGCTACTACTACTACTATACTACTACTACGACTACGACTACTACTACTACTACTACTACTACTACTACTACTACTACTACTACTACTACTACTGCCACGACTACTCCTACTACTGCTACTTCTACTACGACTGCTACTACGACTACGCCTTCTTCTGCTACTACTGCTACTACTGCTACTACTACTACGACTTACTACTATCACTACTACTACTACTACTACTACTACTACTACTACTACTACTACTACTACTTCTACTCCGACTACTACTACTACGTGTGTGGACGCACGCGATTGCGAAGCGTGCGCATGTCCGCGCATTGCTTGCGATGTTGCACCAGCGCGCGCGGCGCGGGCACCAGAGCCCCGCAACCAACGCGACGGGCACCAGCCCACCGCTACGACTACCAGCTCCGCTACCAGCGCGACGGGCACCGCTACCACCAACAATGCAACAAGTTTGGCGGGGGCAACAGAGCTCCGCTACCAGCACGACGGGCAACTACACCCGAGCCATTCGCGCAATACGGCGCGTTTCTGCATCAAGCCAAAATGGCAACCTCCTCCTCTCCTCCTCTCCTCTCCTCCTCTCCTCCTCTCCTCCTCTCCTCCTCCTCTCCTCTCCTCTCTCCTCCTCTCCTCGCCTCCTCCTTCTCCTCCTCCTCTCCTCCTCTTTCCTCCTCTCCTCCTCTCCTCCTCTCTCCTCCTCTCTCCTCCTCTGTCCTCCTCCTGTCCCCCTCTCCCGTCCTCCGCCGCCGCGGGCGCATCTTCGAACCAACGTGGGCCTGCGGGGGCCTGGAGGGTCCCCCC